GAAAGTTTTAAAAGGAGCATTTAACCTCTAGATCCGTAATTCCCTAGACTATGCATTCTAGCTACTGTCCTTTTCCCAACAAAAGACCAAAGTTAACCTTATGAAGGGATTAATTGGAGAAGATCTGGATTTGGGGAATACCAGGTATGGCTGTGTAAAAGCATAGAGGTCATTCTGAAAAATGAAGAGAGTGGTGGGGGTAGAGGGAATTAAGTGAAAACTGAATCTGAATATTGTGATCACTTTCTCCTGCTCAGTTCTCAGAATTCTGGAAGCCAGGTTTATATTCAGTAAGCTGGAGAATGGAGGATTTCTCTCCAGGGAGACTGGCCCAAGAGAAAAGACCTACTCTGTTCCTCAAACACCCCTGGGCTTCACCTGATCTCTCTAAGATGAGGCTCAGGCAACTAGTGTTACTCATTCACTGACAGTCTTTGTCTTGTAAGTGCTTCACTTCACTCTTACGTGGAGAGCAAATCAAAGATCATTGGATATTTACCAAAATTTTCTTACATGAGAAACAGATGGAAGAAAAATTCAGAGGATACAGAAACAATACAAGGAGCAGAAAAAAGTATGTTAAAAAATAACACCATTGGAGTGACAGAAAATTTAATTCATGAAATAAGAACAGTAAGTTATAAAAAGGAACATTTTATATAAAGTAAGAAAATGGTCTTAGAAATTAAAAATATGATAGAATTTAAAAATGCAATAAAAGAGTTGGAAGTTAAAATTGAGCAAATCTCAGTAAGACAAAAAAATTGAGAAAATTGAATAAAAAAGATCAATATGGAACATCTGACAAGTGATTAGATAGGTATGGTAGGAAGAGAATAGGAATAATGGGAAGAAGTTAGAGAAACAATTCAAGAAAATTAGCCAAATCTAAAGGAAGTGGGTTGCCAGATTGAAAGGACCTGCCAGGTATCCATCCCATATTTAGGCATTTTCTCAGATTGCTATAAAATATACTTAAGCTCAAAAATAGGAAGAGAAGGGTTTTGAATACAGGGTATCTATCACTAGAGAGAATAAAGAAGCATTCCTAGGAATGAGTAAGGGAATCAGCAGGATGATGGCTGCACTTCAGGTGGAGAGAACATAAGTCCAGATTAGAGTAGGAGGATAGAGCTTCAGGAAGGATATGTCACAGAATAAAGTGGAACTGACAGTTTATCTGATGTGTTTAATTGTATTGAGACAAGTTGTAAACCTCACAAATTTTAGAGGTAAATCATAATTATTACATTAAAAACTAATCAAACAAAGAACCACCAAACCCTCAGACCAGTAGCTAACAGCAGGGAAAACAAAAGTTGAACAAAGTAATGTAATAATCCTATGTAATAAAAAGTTAATATGCAAATTGTCCCCTCGGGAGTTCGACCGGGAGTTCTATCGCTCGCTATGACGTGTGCTGACCATCAGGGGTCAGTGCGGAACATGGTGGGCGACCAGCGGTGGCGGCGGGGCGCTGAGGGAGTGAGGGAAGGAGGAGGCGGGGAGGCCGGGAAGCGGGGAACAGTGCGGTGGCGGTGTGTGGGTGGCAAGGGAAGGGGGAGGTGGGGAACCTGATTGGCCCTGATTGCTGGCCAGGCCTAGGGACCCTACCCATGCATGAATTTTGTACACCGGGCCTCTAGTTGTAAGATAAATATGTCAACTTATTGGGAAAATGTGGGTCAGGGAAATATATGGGGGACAAGTATATGTGGAGATGAGTTGATAGAGGCATAAGAGAGCTAAATTATTTTAACTATAGGAGAAGATACTAAATATCTAAAACAAAAAAAATCAAGAAATAGCACTATCCTATATCCTATATAATAAAAGGCTAATATGAAAATCGACCGAATGGTGGAATGACCGGTCGCTATGATGCATACTGACCACCAGGGGGCAGATGCTCAATGCAGGAGCTGCCCCCTGGTGGTCAGTGCACTCCCACAGGGGAGCACCACTCAGCCAGAAGCCCGGCTGATGGCTGGTGAGCGCAGCAGCGGTCGGGGGAGGCAGCGCTAAGCCATCAGTTGGACCTCTCCCAAGGGCTCCTGGACTGGAAGAGGGCGCAGGCCAGGCTGAGGGACCCCTCTCCCTGCCCCAAGTGCACAAATTTTGTGCACTGGGCCTCTAGTAACCTATATTTAGCAATATAGAGGTAAATAGAAAAAGAGGTGAAAGTTTGAGTAATTGTCTCAGGAGAGTGGTAATTATGTATGGAGCAGCTTATTAGATTTTCTAAAAAATTCAACTTTATTGAATCAATTTATATACAACAAAATATACGTATTTTAAGAGTATATAGTTTGATAGGTTTTGACAGGTGGATACACCTGTGTAACAGTAATTACAATCAAGATGTGACTATGTCTGTAATCTTAAAACAGTTTTGTCCTCTCAGGTCAGTCCACCTGATTCCTTTGTCCCTGGCAACCACTGATCTGCTTTTAGTAATTATAGATTAGATTTGCCTTTTCTAGAGTTTCAGTCAAATGTAATAATAAAGTCTGTGATATTTTGTTGCTGGGCTTTTGCTCAGCATAATGTTTTTGAGATTTATCTGTGCAGATGCACCAAAGGTAATTTTTTCTTAGTGGTATTCCTTTTTATGGGTATACCATGGTTCTATTCATTCACCTGTTGAACATTTGCTCAACATTTGTTTCAGTTTTTGGCTGTTATGAATAAAGTTGCTATGAACATTTGTGTGCAAGTCTTGTGTGGGCACATGCTTTAGTTTTAGTTTTCACATTTCAATCTGTTGTTATACTGTGAGTTAATTTTTTTTTTATGAGAAGTAAAGGTCTTGCATTATTTTTTTCACATAGGGCTTTCTAGTTGTTCCAGTTGTTGGAAGGATTATCCTTTTCTGATTGAATTATCTTGATGCTTTTGTTCAAAATCAGTTGACAAAATCAGTAGGTGTTGAGTCTCTTTCTGGACTCATATCTATTTCATTAATCTACATACTTATTCTTAATGCCAATATGACACTGTGTTGATTGATTTATAGTAAGTTTTTAAATCAGATAAGTCCTCCAATTTTATTCTTTATATAAATTGTTTTGGCCATTCTAGGTCCTTTGCCTTTCTATAATTAACTTTTCTGTGAAAATAAAAGGTTGCTGGATTTTGATTGGGATTTTATTGATCTGTAAATGAACTTGGAAAAATTGTCATCTTAACTATAGTCTTCCATATCTTTCCACTTTTTTAGGTTTTCTTTAATTTTTCTCAGTATTTTGTAGTTCTTATTATATAGTTAAATTTCTATTTCTGTTGTTCATTACTAGCATATAGGAATATCTTTTATTTTAGTTTGCTAAACTTTTATCCTGTTATTTTCCTGAAGTCATTTAATTCTAGTGACTTTTTAAAAGATTGCTTAGAATTTTCCTTGTACAGAGTCATGTCCTTTGTGACTAGAGAAACTTTTACCTTTTTATGTCTTTAATTCTTTTTCTTCTCTTACTGCACTCTCTAGGACTGCTAGTACATTTTTGAAAAGAAGTAGTGAGAGTGGACATACTTGATTTTTTTCTCAATTTTAGGGGTTAAGCATTTGGTCTTTTACCATTAAATATGTTGTTAGAAATAGTTTTTTTTGACAATGCCCTTTATTACATTGAGGATGTTTCCTTGTAGTTATAGCTCATTGACAGGCTTTATCATGAGTGGGTGTTTAATTATGTCACATGCTTTGTCTACATCTATAAAGATTATTGGAGGATGGTTTTCTTTTTATTCTGTTAACATAGTGAATTATATTGATTGGTGTTTGAATGTTAAACTAGTCTTATATTTTTGAGTTAAACTGCATTTGGTCATTATGTCCTCATATATTGCTAATTTTTAGTTCAGTAGTTTTGCATTTGTGTTTTATGTTGGTTTTTAGTTCCCTTGTAATGTCCTTGTCTACTTTTGGTGAAGAGTAAGGCTGACTGCAAAAAGCAAGTTGAGAAATGTTTTCATGAATAGTGTACTTTAAATGAACAGATTTTTGATACACTACAATCTATTAAATAATTCAATTGATATATAAATACTTTGCTATTGTATTGCTTAGACTTGTGAGTTGTAAGAAACTTAGTTCAACCTTCTTGATATAAAAATATTTATTAGCGTAGCTGAGGGCTTCAAGCTTTGCTGAATCCAAGTCTATAGATGTTACTGTCAATAATATGTATCTGTCTCTTTCTCTCATTATTTAGTTTCTCCATTTTGGGAGAGAGTTAGCCTTCATCAGCTCTAGGGTTACATATTGCTTGGAGTTTGAGATTGCAAAATGAGAGAGGCCTTCTGTCTCCTATCATCTATAATAATATGTATAAAAGGACATGAATATCCCTACTTGAATCACATATATACAATCACTTTGTCTAGGTCAGAAGTAGGTAAACCACAACCTGTGGGCCAAATTCTGCCTTTATTTTTTAAAAGTATAGTTTAATTGGAACAGTCATGCTCATTGTTTATGTGTTTTCAAGTGCTGCTTTTGTGCTACGACAGCATAATTAAGTAGTTGGTATAGAAACTGTATGGACTGCAAAGCCTAAAATACTTACTTTAAAGAAAGAGTGCTAATCTTTGGTCTAGTCAGGCTGTGTTAATTGGTTGTGGAATCAGAGCCTCTTGATTGACAGCTCTATCATAATCACAGTGGGGGAAGAGAGCAATTCCCAAAAGGATTGGCATTTCCTAAAAGCAAAGGATATGAAACAGACACCTTCCTTCTAAATATAAAAGGACTTGTCTGTTACACTCAATTTTTCCTTGTGTTGCATAGACCCTGAGATTAAACATTATAATGTGTACTTAACACTGATACAAATGTTAATAGAATAACATATTATGAGTAAGGCTGATTAATGTAGGAGATATAGAAGAATATGTAAGGATATAGGAATGGAACCCTTAAATTACATAAATTACAAAGATAACAGTGTGAATAATGTAAATTGATGGTTTATAATTTTTATTTTCTCAGATGATGAAACATGCCTGGGATAATTATAGGATATATGGATGGGGACATAATGAACTCAGACCTATTGCAAAGAAAGGACACTCTACTAATATATTTGGTAAGTTTACTTTTTCTGATTACTATTTCCATTTTCTATGTCCATTTTTAAAACAAGACTTAACTTTTTGAATTCTTTCTAAACCCTGAGTATTTCTATGGAATGGAATTATAATTTGAAGCAACATGTATTTTTTCTCAAGTTTCAGTCAAGATTGGTTATGGTTGCCTTGGAATACACAGATATGTGGTTTGATCTGTCGACCACTAAATCTTTCTTTATATCAGCAGTAAGGCTGTTTTCCTTTTTTAATATTTGTGTATTCACTGGAATAGCACTTTTTATCTCCTTCAAGAACTTTTTATTTTCATTCACAGCTTGGCTGACTGGTGCAAAAGGTCTAGCTTTCAGCCTACCTTGGCTTTCAACATGCCTTCCTCTGTAAGCTTCATCATTTCTAGCTTTTAATTTAAATTGAGACTTGCGACTCTTCCTTTTATTTGAATAGTTAGAGGCCATTGTAGGTTTATTAATTAGTATAATTTTAAATTGTTGTGTCTCAGGGAATAGGAAGGCCCGAGGGAGAGAGAGAGAGACGGGGGACAGCTGGTTGGTGGAACAGTCAGAACATATACAGCATTTATTAAGTTTTGCATCTTATATGGGCACCACAAAATAATTATAAAAGTAACATTAAAAACCACTGATCACCATCACAATAATGAAAAAGTTAGAAATATTGTGAGAATAATAAAAATGTGAAGTGAGCAAGTGCTGTTGGAAAAATTGGGGCTGATAGACTTGCTCGGCAGAGGGTTGCCACAAACCTTCAATTTGTAAAGAACACACAGTATCTGTGAAGCACAGTAATACAGAGCGCAATAAAATGAGGGATGCCTACACATAAAAAAATTAACATGCCCAAGGCGATCTACCTGGTAAATTGAGTGGGTTATTTTATACATTCACAATTACAAAGAAAAAATTAACAATGTGAATTTGGATGGAAGTCTGGGGAAGAGCTGTGTTGACTTTAACGTTGTGCCTTTCTTGAGTTCAGCCCACTTGTTAAACTTCTCAGTTCAAAGTTAACTTACTTAACTAACTTAACATCTTTTACTTAGTCCAATGATAAGTTTGAGAATTATAAAAACTGTTTTTAGAATCTTCACTTCTTTCCACTATCTTAAATCTTTCTTGTTGTGAGGGATATCTTTTAAATAAAAATAGGTGAAAATACTATTGGGGTAACAAGGCACATAAACTAGTCATATACAATGTAGTTGTCTCTACTAGTTGTAACAAATCACTACAGTACTTCAAATAGCAGCATATTTCTTTGTAAAACTATGGAAGAATTTTTCTAATGCTATAATTCTCTTAAAATTTGTTTTTTTTTGCTTGGATGCTTTCTGTAAAAAAAAGAAAATGACTGGAAAGTTAATTTTTCCTGGGTTTGAAAGATGTTGGGATGGAGGAATAATGGAAAAATTTTTAAAAATATTTATAGTATTATTTAAAATTATAACAAAATGTCAGAGATCTCATTATATGACATTTAATTTAGAGATCACTTAATGAAATAAGTATATTTCCTCAGCAGAGGTTACAGATGGAAAAGTTCCCATTGCTGTGTGGATGCCACAATGTGAGACATTAGTGCAGTAAAATCCATTATATTTAATGGTTAATTAAAATTAGATCCCCTGCGGGCTGGCATGCGCCACCTGGTACCGGAACTCCAAGTGGGCGGGACCCACTCCCGGCTGACCGCTCATGTCTCTGCAGAGCCGAGTCCCTGGCCCCCTGGCACAGCTGTGTTTGGCGGGACAGCTGCTTAGTGCCCCACGCCCCTGGCCAGGCACCTCAGCCTGTGCCAAGTGGACCCGCAGCAGTGCATGCGGTCGTCCGGCGTCCCCTGATGCCAACGGGCCCCGCACGCGGACCCCAGTGGGAGTTGGGGCTTGGGAGGCGCTGGCGGTGGGGCGGAGAGCTGGGGTGTGCACCAGGGCCCCCCTGGCCTTGGCGGCGAAAGTGGACCCGAACACCTGCACCAACTGGAAGGAGGCAAAATCCTTTCTGAAGGGCCTGAGTGACAGGCAGCGGGAGGAACATTACTTCTGCCGGGACTTCGTCAGGCTGAAGAAGATCCCGACCTGGAAGGAGACGGCGAAAGGGTTAACCCCGAAGGTGGAGGAGCCCAAGTACAAAAAGGACAAGCATCTCAATGAGAAGATCTCCCTGTTCCGAGGTGATATCACCAAGCTGGAGGTGGACGCCATTATCAACGCCGCCAACAACTCCCTGCTGGGAGGCGGCGGTGTGGACGGCTGCATTCACCGGGCCGCCGGGCCCCTCCTCACCGCGGAGTGCCGGACCCTGCAGCACTGCGAGACTGGGAAGGCCAAGATCACCAGCGGCTATAGGCTGCCGGCTAAGTATGTCATCCACACGGTGGGGCCCATCGTCCGCGGAGCGCCCAGCGCCAGCCAGGCTGCCAAGCTCCGCAGCTGCTACCTGAGCAGCCTCGCCTTGCTGCTGGAGCACCAGCTCCGCTCCGCCGCACTCCCCTGCATCTCCACCGGAGTGTTTGGCTACCCCAACGAGGCAGCTGCAGAGGTGGTGCTGGTCACTCTGCGCGAGTGGCTGGAGCAGCACAAGGACAAGGTGGACCGGCTGATCATCTGTGTGTTTCTGGAGAAGGACGAAGACATCTACCTGCGGCGGCTCCCCCACTACTTCCCAGTGGCCTGACCAGGTCTGAGTTGCTGCACACCCTGACCTGGGGGAGTCGCCTGGGCTTGCTGGACCTTGCTCCCAGCTCTAAGAGGTCGCTGAAGCCTGCAGCTGGGCCTGGGCCTGGCCACCCCATCCTGTCCCTCAGCCCCCTGCCCCTCAGCAGCCTCCTAATAAAGACCACCCTTGTTGAAATAAATAAATATCCTCTCTTCAAGTAAATATCCCGTTAAATTAAACTCAGTGGTTGGAGTATAAAAGTGTACTGAAAACAAGAGTTGGATATTAATTTTCTAAATTAAAATTTTAGAGAGGAAGGGAGAAAGAAAGAGAAACATCGATTTGTTGTTCCACTTATTTATGCATTCATTGGTTGATTCTTGTATGTGTCTTGACTGGAATCAAACCGGAAACCTTAGTGTATCAGGATGATGCTCTACCAAATGCTTCTGCTTGTTGGTTTTTTTCTTTTCTTTTCCTTTTCCTTTTCTTTTCTTTTCCTTTTTCTTTTCTTTTCTTTTCCTTTTTCTTTTCTTTTCTTTTCTTTTTTTTCTCTTCTCTTCTCTTCTCTTCTTTATTGATTTCAGAAAGGAAGGGAGATATAAAAACAATTAATAATGAGAGAGAATCATCGATTGGCTGCCTCCTGCACACCCCCCACTGGGGATCGAGCCTGCAATCCCGGCATGCGCCCTTGACTGGATTCGAACCCGGGACCCTTCAGTCCACAGGCCGACGCTCTATCCACTGAGCCAAACTGGGTAGGGCCTCTGCTTGTTTTTTTTTAAAACCTTCTTTCTCAGAACATTTAATGTATTAACATTTATCAAATAGATACTGGTTCTAGGCAAGATAGTAGGTAAGTCACACATTATTTCATATAATCATTGCAATAATTATGTAAGGAAAGATTGCTGAATTTAAATTCAGAAGATAAATGAGCTTTCATGTAACTAAAAATTTCATTCCTTAGAAGTCAATACAGATCTTTTAAGTGAGCAAAAGGGATGTTTCTTAACTGAATGTAATTTTGTTAAATCCTAATGGAGAAGTTTTGACTTAATGTGTTTTTTTAAAAAAATAATAGGATCTTTAAAAAATGAAAGGCAGTTTTAATTTTTGGTAATTTGGTCAGACTTCTTCAAATGTAAACTTGTAGATCACTGTTTGGTTAGGTTGGTAAGTGATGATGGGTCCTGGTAGGTCCAGATTATTGTCAGGAGAGTTCTTGCTAGCTGGCCATTAGGAGCACTTAAATTGGTTTACTGGACACACTGAGAGTTATTTGTGAGATCATAAAAGTTAAAGGAAGTTACAGTGTTGGAAAGGGAGGTTTTACAAAAGAAGCCCTTTCCTTCTGGGTTAAATGGGTATAGAAGCAGGATTTTCCCAGTGGTCCTCCATTTCAGAGGGATCATTCTTACAATGAATAGTAATTAAGTATACATTCCAATAAAATGTTTTACCTTCTTTTACCAATCTGACATGAGGTCAGTAATGTGCTTTAGATTCTGAAATTTGGTTTGTTGAATAAGACTCTATTTTCCTTTAGAGCAATAGTTATATACACATTAATAGTAAAACATCTATAGTATTTACATAGTTTATTCTGCTGTAGACTGAATTGTGTCTGTCACAAATTTACATGTTGAAGCTCTAACACCCAATATATATTTGGAGATAGAGCCTAATTGGGAGTTAAGCCTAATTAAGGTTAAATGAGGTGGTAAGTGTGGAACCCTAATTTCAATAAGGTTAAATTACATAAGTGTGGGGCCTCTGACAAGAAGAGAAAAAAACAACAGATCGCGCTCTTCCCATGTACACACACCAGGGAAAGACCATGTGAGGACATGGTGAGAAGGTGGATGTCTACAAGCCAGGAAGAAAGCCTTCACCAAAACCTGGAGCCTTAATCTTAGATTTCTAGTCTCCAGAACTATGAGAAAATAAATTTCTGTTGTTTAAGTCTCCTAGTCTATGATATTCTGTTGCGGCAGCCTGAACAGTCTAATAAACATACTGTATGCCACAGACTTATTTCAGAGATTGATGTGAATTGGACTAACAGCAATCTTATGAGACAGGGACAGTTATTATTATTCCTATTTTACAGATGGGAAAGCCAAAGCACATTTAGGAACAACTAACTTTTCTTAGGTCACACAATTAGGAAATAATAGAGCCAGGATTTGAATCCAAACATTCTAGTGCTAAGATCCATGCTTATAACCACTATTCTATACTGCTTCAGGAATCCTTCAAGAAAGGAAAAGGTAGTATCAGCACACAGGAAAAATCCAGTGTGAGAAGAAAATGACAGTGAAATGGTAGACAAAGTGGAAAATGTAATCTGCAGAAGTTTTAGTAGTCAAAATTAGCTGCATGTATCTTTTAATAATTTTGCCTGTCTGTGCCTTGGGGCTTTTAGCCAATGGCACAAACCTAAAACTACCTATAAACTTTGAAATAAGAACAAAAACTGGTACTCTCCTTAAGGATTTAAAATAAGCATGATAAATATTTTGGACAAAATACTAAAGAGATAAATAAGTGATTATGGAAGAGATCGGGATATATGGGTGATTAAATTGCTTAATAAAGCTTTTGTTATCTTAATAAAATCTGAGGAACAAGAAAAGTGAAAATATGTCTGTAATAACTCAGAACATTCTAGTTAATATCAACATGGAGTTGGGAGAAGACTAAGGAATTTACCAGAGTGTGGTGGAGTACTTGTCTTGTTATCAAGATACTAGAGGCCTGGTGCACAAAATTTGTGCACTCGCAGGTAGGGGCAGGGGATCCCTCAGCCTGGCCTGCGCCCTCTCACAGTCCAGGAACCCACAGGGAGCAGGCCTAAGCTGTCTGTCAGACATCCTTATTGTTGCTGTGGAGGCGGAAGAGGCTCCCACCACCACCGCTGTGCTCACCAGCTGTGAGCCCAGCTTCTGGCTGAGCAGCGCTCCCTGTGGGAGCACACTGACCACAGGGGGCAGCTCCTGCATTGACCGTCTGCCCCCTGGTAGTCAGTGCACATCATAGCGACCGGTTGTTCTGCCGTTCGGTTGATTTGCATATTAGCCTTTTATTATATAGGATACTTGATAAGTTGAAAAAATATTAGGAGCACATGAATAAGAAAATGTGATGTAAGTGAAGAAGGATAACCATTATAAGAACAAATTTGTATAGTTTTATTTATTTTACTAAATCAAAGCATTAATTTTTTTCAAACGCAAGCCTGTCACTTTTTTTTGAGATTTTCAGATATGCTTTAATTAATTTACTAAAAAATTTTTTTCTATTACGGTTGTATGGCTATAAACTTTCAGAAGAAAATACTATTTACCCAGTAGTGAAAGGACCAGAAGAAAAAAGTAAAGAAAAGAAAGACTAGTAAATTAAGTAATGTCAAATGTTGATTCCTAAAATATCACCAGATAACTTGTTAAGATAAAACTTTATCTTTGTTTAATGCTTACTTTGTAAAGTAGATCACTACCTCAGCAGAGCCTTAGTAGCCTGTCAGATGGGGAAGGAAAAAGTTGAGATGTTTATTGAGATTTAAAATCTGTTTTTTTTAGATGGGCCTTTTAATTGGAGGAGGCTTGTTTATGATGATCAGATAAGGATCATGATATAATAATTTAGGATTGGTAAGCAGGAAATTTGGAGGCAAAGAGTTCAGAGCTTTGGCGTGTAATCCATCTTGTGATACTTTCTGTTGAAGAGTTGATGGGTCTCTCAGGAAGTTCCTGGAGTGAACAATAAAATTATTTTGCAACTTTCATCATTCTGAGCAAGAAACTCCTGGAACAGTAAACTCTTGATGAAGACAGTATAATAATAAAGTCATGTTAATGTAGATAGTAAGCTGTGTGGATGATTTTCATTCTCAGAAGATAGAAATAATAATTGCATTCCTGGGGTTGGGGAGGACCCATTTGCTCCCTTTTATTTTTTTTCTGTGCTACTATGTTTGTTTGCTAATATTTTATTCAGGAATCTTGCGATTATATTCATTAGTAAGATTGGCTTGATTCTTATCATGTGTTTTTAGTATCTAGTTTTGGTATCAGCTAGCTTTTTAAAAAAAAATATTTTTATTGATTTTGGAGAGGAAAGGAGACGGAGAGCGAGAGATAGAAACATCAATGATGAAAGGGAATCATTGATTGGCTGCCTCCTGCATGTCCCCTACTGGGGATCAGGCCTGTAACCTGGGCATGTGCTCTGACTGGGAATCCAACCATGAACTGGTCCATGGGTCGATGCTCAACCACTGAGGCATGCCAGCCAGGCTCAGCTAGATTTTTTGAATTAGTTCCTACCTCGTGGAAACATTTCCTTTAAGATTAGGATTATCTCTTTCTTGTAGATGGGTAAATCTTATTATTTTGATTTTCTCTACTCACATTTGATTTATGGCTTCCTTTTTCAGTATGATCAACCTGCTTTTTGATTGTTAAGGATTATTGCAATTTCTGTTCCATGATTGTCTAACCTTGTACTTGTATTATTATTTTTAAATAGATATTTTGCCTTTTCTATGAATTTGTACCAGAAGAGCATCGTTGTCTTGAAACCGGACAATAAATAGGTCTGGACTGCCTATCACTACTTAAGCCAATTAAGCAGAGACAGGGTTGAATCGTATATGAGCATTTTTATTTTCTAGTGTTTACTTTCTAATATTGCTGGCAGCATGGTCATCCACAAAAATCTGCTCTGCTCCTCTGCCCCCATAAGCCTGCTACTTATATTGGGAAGAAAGACAAAGATTATGTGTGGAATTAGGCAAAAGGAATAAGAATGGGTATGCAAATGGAATAAAAATGGGTAAAATAGTTACAGATTACAGGCAGTGGGGGGGAATGCCTCCAGGATTCCATTGTTTCCCAAGAAGGTTGCTAATTTCCCGCAATCCAATTCACGCGAGCCGACTTAACTCGTTTCCCGCAATCCAAGTGTTAACTCCCAAGTCTGGGGGCCTACAACTCCAGACAGGTCAGAATGTGCTTTCTTTAATCATGGTTAACAGAGCATGATTAATATTTCTTAGAACTATAGCAAGTCCCCACTATTTGATTTCTCTCTTCCATCCCTAACAGTCTTATGATTTAGCTTGTTATCTTGAATCAACCTCCCCATTTCTTAAGTTAATCCTTTTTTATTTAACCTAATTTAGTTAAATAGATAGCTCTCATATTATGA